TTTTGATGTCACTCATTGCTATTTGTTCTCAGTCCTTTTGCAATGATTTACAGATTTTATCCTTTTAAGAGCTTTTCAAGGCAGAAATACATCCTCACCATTTTAAAGCTGAGCTGGGGACATAGCGTGAATTAAAGGGCTTCCCTAATTCCATTGTGACAGAGCCAGGACTTGAAGTCCAAACCTCCAAGTCCTAATTCAGCCAGCCCAGCCTTGCTGACTACTCCACCAGCGTCACCTTGCTGCCTGCAGCCTCTCACCCTGTTACGCACTATCATAGCACAGCCTCACTGCAGAATCAGACAGATAATTGATGGGGACAATGCCACTGTAGCACTTGTTTGCTGTTGTGTCTTTCTGGTCATACAGCAGGACTTGAGCAGTGTCCAGACGGGCAAGGCTAGAACCATCACCCTGCCAAGCCTATCTGAATTGCCCACCTTAACTCCTGTCAGCGACGCACATCAAACTGGGGCAGATGTGTCATTCAGCACAGATTTGGCCCCGCTTCATGTTGCCTTCCTTCTCTTTCTGTTAAAGCGGAAGAGCCAAGACCCCTTGACTCCATGTGGGAAAAATCTGGCAACTACTCAGCTCTGGAGGTCCTTGCCAAGAGCAGCATCTGACTCTGTGCCTAGATGCCTGGCTGCTCTCCTGTGACACCCTGGGCTATCGCGTTGTTGGCTGTGAAATTTTTTCTGTGGCTAGTGCAAGGTTGCGGCTCTGATTAGCTTTCTCTGTCCGTATTATCACCACTGTTCTGTGTAACCATCTTCTGTGCTAATCAAGCTGCCAGCCACCGGCACCGTGCACATCTGCTAGCAACCCCAGGAGGTGTTTTCTGAATTATTTTCCTGTGTTACAGGAAGGGGAAGATGCCATTTATAAATTTTAAATTATTTCCATATATTTGCCACTTTATTTTAGTTCTGCACCAAGTGCATGTTTTGATTTGTGGCTTCTTGTTCTGCATCTGTAGCCTCTCTCTGCATCTGTTTGTAGGTCTACATTTATGGTGTATACGTAAATTTTGCAGCAATTTCCAGTCTAAGGGAATTATTTTTTCTGCTTCCTTTGCCAAGACCTGGCTTATCAACTGCAAGGACATGAACATAGTGCAAGGAGGTCACAATCAAAATAGGTTACACCCGCTTGCCCATGCCTTGTTGTCATAGAAGCCTCTGTAAGCTGTGTACATGGTTTAAAATTTAAAAAAAAACCAACAATGAAATAAAGAAACTCCACAAAGCATCACTAAATTTCACTACTGCAATGTAGAATAAGTCCAAAATAAGGCAGTAATTGGTACACCAGAGAACATGGCTGTGTATACATCCATACAGATGTATCAATGTACTTATGATTTTTAAAACACAGTAGGTACATGCAGGCACATAAGTTCATGTTTGACCACCTAAAAAAATGGTCCGATTTTCAGAACTGCCTTGCAATCAGCAGATACCACTAAAGTCAAAAGTAGGATGTGCAACTTCGTATTCTATACTTCTATTTTTATAGTGCTTTTCTTAATGAGTCTATTCTAAATCTTTTGCTGGCAGAGCCCTCAAAAAAAAAAGAACAAAGAACAATCATCTTAACTGTGCTGTGATACACTCTTACAATAAGTAAAAAATATGGTGGGAAAGACAAAGTACTAGTTTTACAATATCCTGTGCCAAATCACAGGTTATACAATTCAGTTTTTTATTTGCACAGCCAACAGTGCTTTGTAGAGCAATCAGGGAAGATAATACAATCCATTTTAAATTCTCATTACTTTAGAAGTGTTGAATCTTCTTAAATTGTTTCAGGGTTAATTGAGAATTTGCAGTTTTACAATAGAGTAGGAATTGTTTAGGCCGCCCTTGTTTCATATTTTTGTGCATACCTTTGTTGGGAAGTTATAAAAACAACAATAAAATAGGAAACAAAGAAGTGAAATGAAATAATGATTCTGCATTGTTACTATTCTAGTAACTCATTTCTACGGGAGATAAAGCTCAGGTATTGATTAATGTTTAAATGGTTATTAAGTGGAAGGACATGTTGGGTTGATGGAATGGCTCACTGTGCAGTACCATTTGCCTTTGATTCTTTCCCGGTAATTTCTGCTCCTGGGGAAGCCAGCGGTGAAACTCTGAGGGACTTTTGCAGGAGCAAGTGTTTTCTATATTTGTCTCTTTTTCTCATAAAGTCCAAAAGGTTCTGGTTTCCAAATTTGTCCTTTAATTTATTTTAACATAACAATAGGTCATAAAAATGTATGATTTTTCATGGCTGTATATATTTAAGTTTTGATCCGGAAACTGGCTGCCTGAACACCAGTGTGCTCTTCTGTACCAAGGAAAAGTCAATCTGGCTCAGCAGCCCCAAGGAGCTTGCATTTTTCAAGCCTGAAGCAAAGTTGTGGTAAAGAGCTGCAGTTGTGTGGACAGTGCTGTCTGTTAGCACCTCTGAAATTAGCCATCTCCACCTTCTGTAGGAGAATATCACTTCCCCTGCAGGTACACCAAAGAAAATTTGAGGCAACTGGTGATATTTTTGATGAGAGATATTTCTCTGATGAATTAAGAGAAGACTTTCTGCTAAAAGCAATTCTTTTTTTCAAATTCAAAACTCAGTATTTTTTCTTTGGATATCATTCTTTTGAAATAAAAGTTCTTTAATGATCTTTGAAGTATAACGTCAATCCATAGAACAGTGTATTTTAATGGGCCCATGGGCCACTTGACAAATTCATAGGGATTCTGGAGCCCTGTGCTTTCTAAGGCATAAATTCAAGTCTTGCTCTGCCTCCAGCTAAACCAGTTATAATGGATACCTGATCTGTGGCTGGGAAACGATGTCATATGTTTCTGTCCTGTACTTCTCAGGCTTGAGTACCTGCATGGGCACTGCCTCATTTATGCATGAGGAAACCCATTTGTCCAGAACTTTTCCCTTTTTAACAATTAAGTTTCCTTCCTGCTGAATAGTATGATGTCCGTGCCCAACATTTATTATTCAAAGGCTATTATAAGTCAAATCTGTTCTAATCTTTCCTAATTTGCATGGGGGGTAGGAGGGAAATAAAAAAATCTTTGCTTAATGACACCTTCCCATGGCAATATTTCAAATGTTGAAGGGGAAGTTCCTGTGATGAGGGATGGAAGAGATCCATTCTTCAGTTCATTCAACAGTCTTTGACAGTGCTGTCTTAATGACAGGATTTAAGCTGGAGCCGTGCACTAAGACATTTGCTTTTGTTTTTCTTTTACCTTTGGCCAATGATCAGACCTGCTGCTCAAATGCAGTAAAATTTGCTGCATGAATAATGAATGATGCTAATGGCCATCCCGGACATCTGACAGCTCAGAGCTGCGGCTCTGCTTGGTCCTTCTGAGATCCCAGCAGAAATCCAAAGTTCTGAAACTCCACCTGATCAAAATAACCAGACAGTGGAAAAGTACGAGTTATATGGGACCGAAAGGTCGGAAATGAGGAGTGGGGGGTCAGAAGCAGCTGGGCAGAACAGCTGCACGTTGTCCCCTTACTGTTAGCTGGGATAATGGGCATCCCTTAACAGCCTGCTAGAGGGACCTAGCAACTAATCCTAACTTATTTTTCCACTTTCCTGAGGGCACAAGAGACCAAAGCCAAGCCTCTGAAATAAGCATTCAATGAGATGACGTCTTTCTTTGTTGGCCTGCAATTTATTCTTTCCTCTTCTAGCAACTGCCATTTCATTTCATTTTACTTATTTTTTTTAACCCCCTCACAATCTGTTATTTTTTGTTTATTCCCTCGGGAAATAGTTGCACTGATAAATTATTTTTGGCAGCGTTATCACATAGGACACCTTTCAGATGAATGTCACTATGAGGCACTGACTAGGCACATACTCATTAAACAATAAGAGATTTCATGTCAATTAAAATGTCTATAGAAGATTGTAGGGCTGTTTATGGCCTATAACAATTCACTACAAAAAAGATAAACAGGTTATTATACTGAGTATTGATTATATGATTGGAGCTTTAGTTTAAAATATTAACACATTTCATTGGAGAGGGAATTGGTACCAGTTAATTCAGCTCTGTGTTGTTATGTTACTTAATATATTTAACTGAGAATAGAATTAGGCCATAATCATGAACATCCTTATGTTTATTATATCAGTCAAGTAGGTCACTTCTTAGTGCATAAACACCACAATATCTAAATATTTCCAGTATCAGGGTCTAAATATTTGTGCTGATTAAAGCAAAGAAAGCACAACAATGTATTTTGTATTGTGGGATCCTGACAGACAGCAGTTTCAGGTCCTTATTTAGACAACATGTATGTCATTGAATTGTTCCAAGATTCTGAGCATCTACGTGAAGTCCTCAGAAGCAGGAAACTACAGATCCCAGACTGCAGAGCAAATGTATGCAAACTGGGTCTGCATATGACCAGCTCCCATTAGACCTAATGAATCCATATTTTTACCCTCTTTTTGCTCCCATACTCCACAATTTACTATATTTCCAAAATGAAAACCACCTAAAAAAATAAATTAAAAATATAACTCCTACTCCAGACGGAATTTTATGTCTGGAAAAGGAGGACTGGAGAGGATCCATGAGGTCTGTAATGGTCCATGAGTGTTGACACAGAGGTTCAGTGAAAGCGTTCAGGTACTCTGGCTGTATAACACAGCAGTAGGCCCTATATAATGTTTTAAATATTGATTTCTGTGCTAAGTTTTGGGACATATGTATCCAAAGACATTGACTCAAACCTCGCTCTGTATCTCCATCTGTCAAATAAGCCCTACAATATGAACTATCTCAAACACAAGGCACGTGGTTTAAATTGTATTTTTTAGGGATTATGAGATCCACCTCATGAAAGCCAGTGAGTGCAAAGGCATATTCTTTGTAGTAATGTATTGTCTAGATGTATAATGTCTAGATGTCTATAATGTCTATATTATGTCAAGATGCATAATTTATTAACAACTTCTGTATTTTTATCAGGTATTCTGTTTACAAGGATCCAGCGGGCTGGCTAGAAATTAACCCCACCAACGGTACCATTGGCACCACTGCCATCCTGGATCGGGAATCTCCTTATGTTCAGAATAACATATACACGGCTCTCTTTCTGGCAATAGACAGTGGTGAGTAACTATTACAGATCATATTCATTAAAATATAGGAGTTTCTACCCTGCTTGAAATTTTCCATTCAGAAAGCACTTTTTCCGTTCTGCTTCAGCACTTTGCTTGGTGGGCACCAAAAGGTATCAGAGATCATTGTGAAAAACAGGAAATAGAGGAATTAACTTAAAACTTCAAACTTAGAACAGCTTTGATTTAAGGCTACATCTCACACATTTATTCCTACACTGAGATTCTAATGCTAGATGCAAATAGTCTATGAACATTCTTGGAAAGTCATAAATCATCTTTATCAGAGTTAATTTCCTCATAATATTGGAGGATTTAGTAAGCCTAGGGCACCTAAATACCAATAACAACTCAGATATGCTGCATTCTATTCTATTGAATACAGTGATGGTGACAATAAAAACATAAGTAAAAGCCTTGTTAAAATGCAACATTTTTTACGTATTGTGTGGATTAAAGTTCCTTCTGTCAAATATAATCAAAATTAAACTATCTAGTGAAAATTCAGCAAGTGACTTTGGAGCAGAGAAAGAAAGAGAAAATCCTGAACATTCCAAATCTCCAGAGCTAAAGGCTCAAAATAAATAAAAGATTTGTCTGTAACATAACAGCTAATATGCTAACGCTTTTCACAGCTGCAGCTGGTTTAGCCCTGGTGTTGAATTGTAAAATGTTCTTTTTAGGAGAGTAATTCTACATTTTTGTAACCACATGACTCAGGGAACATTTGCAGGGCCTGACAGGAAAAAGAAAATATCGCCTTAAGTATAAAAGAAAAAAAAATTCTGCTGAGATGGTAATTTACTTGTATATTCATACACATATTTTTCTTAGGAAATTTCCATGGAAAAATGTAGCACTAAACTTATTTCTGTCTTTTACTTGCTATTGGATAAAGAGTTTTTAAATGCATCTTAAAATCTGGTACATGGGGAGATGTCATCACACACTGAAAGTAAAAATTCAGGATAATATTATTGGGAGATTATCAAAAGGACAAAGTTGCATATGTTTTAAAGGTGGAGTCAAATATCCTCAAAGATAATAGATGGAACAAGAAGCTGAATATTTCCAACTGTGAAAACCAGTCTGAATGAAAGTCTGAAAGTGGATTTTTGGGTATGCCTTTATGTTGCCCTTGGGGCAGTTACACACGTTGCTTATTGATTTTAAGCCAAGAACCTCGATTCTCAGAGTTTTTTCCATTCTGGAAAAATGAGAGAAGGGACGGTGTCTGTGCACTGAACAGCAGAGTGAGAGAAGATGTTTAATGTGGGTTAGAGAAAAGGAGTCCTGTTCAGTTGAGGTACTGAGTCAGCATCTCATTCGAGCTGCTGTTACTGTGTTTATTTGTAATTCTGCAGTACCGTTAGCGCAGGAGCTAATCTACTCCAACACTATTGACTTCTTTGAATGAAGTAATTAGAAACCACATGTGTGCATTTAGTACTGTCATGCTAAGGTGTTAATAATGATCATTCAGGAGTATTTTACTACTTCACTCTATGTAGCTCAGCCACATGTGGAAGTGCCAATAAACAGCAGAACTTAAATAGCTGATATTAACCTTGTGGTCTGCGTCACTCCTGGATTAATTACCAAACAGCTTGGGAAACACATTACACTTAAAGGCAGGTTGGTAACTGGAAAAATTATCTGTTGGTCTGTATAAATATGTAAGAGTGGAATTTGTGGGCGTTGAGAGCTCCAACCTCAACCTCAGTCCTACACAGATACTTGCCTCTGGCCACCACTGGCTGGGCGAGCAGTGGTCCCTTGGGGCAGGCTTATTTCCCCAGCTTATTTCTGGGCCACTGATAATGCTGACTAGCTGGGCTGTGAAACCCACTTCATTTTTTCTAGCCATCACAGCTAATGTCCATCTTGAAAAGGGATATTACCTTAGATGATAAGACAAATGGTGGTAGAAAAATATGAAATGAATGCAGAATTATTTCAGGACTTTAAAAGAAGGTTATGTTAACTTAAAAAGGAAAAAAATCAAATTAAATATAACTATATGCATTCTCTTTAAAACAGCATTGTCCACAAACTGTGACTCTTTCTTCAGGTTAGTAAGTGCAGCCTATGTAATTCCAGTGAATATGGTTAGGACGTTTATGTGAGAGGGCAGCCAAAGGAAGGATTAAATCGTGCCAAATGAGATAGGGTAGTAAATTGAAAATTCAGAGGCATTTCCGATAGACCAAGTCATTTGCTCAGGCTAACAGACTTGGGGTGAAGAGGGAGAGGAAAAAAAAAACACCCTGTAGTTAATCAGAGATACTTTTTTCAAAAGCATTCAATGAAACTTCTTATTTTTTTCCTAAGTCAAACCTGAGATGTGTTGACACACCCACCGAGGAGGTCTGAGCTGCCACACATTTCCCTTTTCTTAACTGGGGAGCACCAGAGAGCTCAGGGAACACTCACTGCAGAGCACAGTGTGAGCTGGTACCAGCGCAGTGCTGGGCTCACACAGAGCACCCCAGCCCAGCCCAGCACCCACCGGTGCCCACGAGGCTTCCCAGAGGCTGGTGCAGAGAGAGGTCTGTGTGTCCCCGTGCCCACACCTGATCCACCTCCCTCAGGTTCAGCTCCTGGCAGCACTGACAGGAGCTTCAGCAGCATAACGTTGCTAATTGTCAGTATAAGCAATTGCAAACGCGGTGATTACTGTCAAAGGGTGTCTGTGAGTTGTGCACTGATTTTTAACAACATCTATAATACGTCAAGTTTCTAAAATCAAATAAAACCTTGGACCTTATACCTTGCTAAAGGACCCTAGACATGCACTAGAAGAGTCAATAAACATATTAATTCCTATTAGAATTCATAGCATATAGAGTTTCTATAATTACAGAAAAGATACTGTTGTCCCATCACATTCCATGATCACTTCTTTTTAAAATGACCTTACATTCCTGTGCTGTCTTGGGCACAGAGTGGAGACAGCCAAAACCCAAACTCACAGGGGTAGTTTTTTCATACCCTTTCACTGACATCAATAGAGAATCTGTCACTGGATCCAGCAGACACTGCCGCCTTATTATTGTGCTTCAGTGCAGGGGACAAGTGCCAGGGAATTTTTCTTATTTGTAAAATGTTGAAGATTTCTGTCAGAAATGAAACCAGGAGCTTCATGCTTGGTAGTTCTTTATAGAAATCCATCACATCTTTATCTTTTCTTAGTGAATCACAAAACTATTCTTTACCAGTAGGACAGTAATCATGAATGGACCCCAGAAAGCAGAGTCATTCCACTGCAGGAAATAATTTAGTTGTATATAATGTTCTTTTTGAACTTCATGATATTATTTTTCAGCGTTATCAAATTAACTGCATAGAAAGGTAGTTAAGTATGAATTATGTTATTTCTGAACTAAACAGTTCCTGTACCTTCCCAAAAATAATTGAAACAATGGATAAGAGCAAATTTGATGGACACAGTATTAATTTTATAGATAATAAAGTTTGACCTTTTATTGGGGGAATTTTCACTTTAAAAAGGACTTTTTGGAATGAATATCCTAATTTTCTCTGTACTTTTGATTTCAGTAAAGGTCAAGGTAGTGTCTTTAGAATTTGAAAACTCTTTTTATTAAAGACTTGTGTGGACATAGAGTCTCTGGTCTATTAAAGAAGAAATTAAACACTGGTAGGAAATATCATGAAGCAGAGTTAACACATTAAACTGTCATGAACCGTGTTTAATCTGAGAATGAGCGCTTAATGGGACAAAGTCAGGTTTATGCAAACTTGCAAAACATCAGAGGTTTCATTCAATTAACAAAAGTGCCAATAATGGTGATCATTTTATTTCCTGAATTTAGCACTCTAATCACTAAAAACAATGCAGAATCACAAGCATACAGGGCAATTATCGGGAGTATGTCTCTAAAATCCACGTATCTTAAATAAGACGAGAAATAGTTTGAGAAATGTGCTTGGAACAGACCTTCCAGCAGATTTGCTGTGTTGACCATGTCTAGTGTCATCCTATAGATTCTATTATACACTGGAGTATTTGGGATGCCTATTTTTAAGCAGAATACCTTTATGTTTTTCTCGTAAAGTCAATTATGCTGAAAACTCTCCAGGAATCGTCTTTTTTGTCCTGTATTCTGAGACTTTGAGTCACAATTTAGAAAAAGGGAGGGGAAAAACATGAAAATTTTGGAGGTGATGCCAAAAAATATCTGCCAAATATATGAAATCTATAAAAGCTAAAATTGGTTTTTCCCTTTCCTGTAAGAGGAATAAATAAAAAAATGTATCCAGATTTACCTTAGTTATGCAATAATCACTCATGCTACTGCGGAGGAGCAAGACACCCCAGTTAATGTTCCCATTGTGTAAATTTTCTCTCTTTAGAAGAAAAACTTTGGTTACCTTTTTTTTACCTGATACATGGAAAAGCCACCCATGCTGTCCAAGTATGTCAGCTGTGGTGACAAGTGATGAGACACTAATACCCAGTCTTGCTGATTTGGTTAAATGCCAGATATCAGCTTCACTTTTGTCATGCCACCCTGCTGGAGTACCACCCACACAAAGCCAGGGAGCAACCTTCTCCCAATGAGACAGGTACCCTCATCTAGTGTGAATGTGCCACCTTCCTCCCCTGCTACTCTCATCGCCAGGGAACTACTGAGACAAAAACTGGGAATATAAGTACTTCTACTACATTAAACATAGAGGAGGATAAATGTCATTAAAAGGTGGCATCTCTTCCGGATGTTAAGGATAATCAGAGATGGAGTTAAGGGTTCAGAATTTTAACTGATGTAGCTTGAAATGCCCTAAATCACAGTAAGCTGGTTTTTACAGCAATACTGCGTGAGCGAAAACAACTGTTTTCTTTTCTGAAAGTGATTTGCCCCCTACATGACATCACCCTCCCCAGTCCTTGCCATGATAAGCATTTACGTGGCAGCCACCTGCAGCCACAGGCAGGGTGTCCACGGAGGGGCTGAGCTGCAGGGAAGAAC